TAGGAATCCCATTCATTTCAGAATTTGAGTTTCTTTCATTATTCTATTATTTTAAATAACAATAGTTAACGCTTTAATTTGTTGAAAAAAACCCTAGTGGATAAAATAAATAAATAAAAATTTAAATACATTACATTTGTAATAATACTTTTATTAACATAATAATTTTAATAAAATATATTAAATAAAATTTAGTTATATCAAATTTATTATAATAATTTTATTAAAATTCATTCGAAAAACTGATTAATCCTTGTGGATAAAATAAATAAATAAAACTTTAAAAATATTAAATTTATTAAAAAAGTTTTATTATAATAATAATTTCAATAAAATATATTATTCAATAAAAATTTAGTAATATTAAATCTATTATAATAATTTTATTAAAACAAATTCAAAAAAAAATTAATCAACACGTGTGGATAAAATAAAAAAATAAAAATTAGAAAATATTAAATTTATTATAATAGTTTTATTATAATAATACTTTTATTAAAATAATAATTTTAATAAAATATATTAAATAAAAATGTGGTTATATCAAATTTATTATAATAATTTTATTAAAATACATTCGAAAAACTGATCAATCCTTGTGGATAAAGTAAATAAATAAAACTTTAAAAATATTAAATTTATTATAATAATAATTTTTTTAAAATACAGTCAAACTTCCATAACTCGAAGTCAAATTTTGCAAAGAAAAGGTTCGACTTATGAAGACTTCGAGATAGAGAATTTTTTTATTTATTTTTATTTTTGAAAGTAACTAGAATTACATTTAAGGAAATTTATTTATTTGCAATCAAATAAAGCACAGAAGTTATAGTAAAGTAAAATATGCAGAAATTAGGGTTTGAGACTTTAGTTTTTGTCTCATTTTCAGTAAAAAGAAATTCCACTTTATTCATACTCTTACTCTTATCTATCAGTTGTAGTATCATTCGTTTGCAAATATACATTCAGAATTTTGAATAAGTCTCCTACTTCATTCTTGGAAGGCTGATAAATAATTACATCCACAGAACCCTCATCATCACTTTCCGTTGCGCTTAGAATTGGATCCAGTAATTTAGAGCAACATAAGAAAGAAAAAATGAAACATTTAGTTTGGAAAGAGGGACTTACCCTAACAGCAAAATGCATTTATACTTAAAATAAAAATTCGACTTATAGAATGTACTTTCCGCATCTGCCTATCGACCCGGAACAAAATTTTTGTTCGAGATATACAGAAATTTGAGTTATAGAAGTTCGAGTTATGGAAGCAGAATTGTGTGTAATTTGCTCTCTAACACCTTGGTGCACTGTTGTTGGTTCGAGTTATGGAAGTTTGACTATATATTCAAAAATCTGATCATTATAAGTTACTTTCATATTTATTTAAACTATTTTTAATACTTTTTTAACTTGTCTCCCAAACAATTTGCTTGGGAAAGAATTTGCGCAAAATTGGGAAAAGGGAAAAAACTCCCATTCCCATGCGATTCAGAATAGCAAAATTGGGAACAGGGAACAAAACACCCATTCCCAAATTATTTAGAATAGCAAACTTGGGAATAGGGAAAAAACTCCCATTCCCATGCGATTCAGAATAGGGCTGAAATGAAATGTAAATGCACAATTTTAAAACTCTTACATGAGAAATCTTACGTTTGTAGTTCGAAGAACATATTAGATTTAACATATCTACCCATTCCACACTCTCCACATCACACGCCATTGTACAGCATCTTGTCAACTTTTTATATAACAATAACGAAAATGCTAAAAGTGTAACGGCGGTGGACAAACTCGATCTAAAGTGTTTGCTGGCACCAAAATCTTTGTATTCTGACAAAAGTAAAATAATAAACAATTTTTTAAGGTTTTTCTCCCTTATTTATTATATAAACTCATTTACACTTTTAAATTACCTGAATAATTAACATATATATACATATATATATTTTTTTTGCATTTTGTTTTTACATTTTAATTAAAAATTACATTCATATAATATTTTAAATATTTATCAAATAATATACAATTTTACATATTTTATATTCAATTAAAATTCTCCATCAATATCCATCAATCCTTTGAATTAAATAAAGTTAAATGTACTTTTGTCCTAAACGTGCTGCATATAACAGAACCATTAAATTATAAGATAAAATCGAACACATTGATATTACCAATGAAGCACATGATACACATATTTGTTTAAAACAATTTAAGCGTTTTTATTCTTTTCTTATTTTTAAATTTAGTTTTATAACAAATATTAAAAATTATATAAATTAAATTAAACAATTCAAAGAAAAACTAAAAAGCAGCTAATGCATATATTACTAATTTAATAGATACTTCGAAACATAATTAAAATAAATTATACCACAACAGCCTAATAAAATTAATTAATAAAAATTTGTTTATGTAAAAATATACATTTTATATTATAAGCTCTCTTTTGAGAAGCAAACTAATGTGAATGCTCTCTCATAACTTCACATCTGAGGTAGAATTCGTACGTAAAAGTGTGAAATTAATGAAGAGCTGCATTTCAAGAGTACATAAAATAAATGATTATATTATTTCAACAGTTACTTTCTTATACATACAAACGCTGTATTATTTGTCTTCATATTAATTTTGTACTTGCCGTTTCACCTAAATGTGACCAGTAAACTATTTAATTCAATTAAATTTATCTTAACACATTACATCCTCATACAAAAGAGACAAATACTTTTTAATATATTCAAACAGAACTATCTTTTATCTTTATGTTGTTTAGTATACATTTTTTTACTAATAGACTAGAGCATAATTTATAAGTAGAGCACGTTAAAACAAATATTTTAAATTCAATTTAAATAATCGTACATACTTTCATCTTGATTCAGTCTGTCGTGTCTTATATTATTACAATTGTTTTGCCCTCTAATTTATTATTAAATATAATTTGTATACAATAAATATGACTTCTAAATTCCATTACAATATTTTAATATTACATATAAACATAACTAAACCATATATAAACTATTTTTCATATGCATCACACATCACACAATCAAAAATGTGATATACACAAGTAATAAGCTTTTACAAGTGTTCTTCTTTAATATTATCATATGAAAATCTTTTAAATGTTCTATATTTGAATTTTAAATTACAGAAAATAATTTTTAAAAAATCTATATACTTTATATTTCTAAAATCTATAACATGTTATTCCGACTTATCATTGAATATATGTATTTGCTAATAATAATTGATTTAATGGTTCTTAAAAAACTTAATTTTTGTCAAAATTCATATATATCTGTTATATATTGAGAATGAAGCAATTAATACAATCAATACATTTTGAATATATTCACTACGTCAAATTAAATTTTTTATACTAACTAAATTGGTTAATACCATGAGAACTAAACTTTTATAATTTGAAACCTAAAGCATCTATCCCTAACTTTATCGGTAACAAAATTTTCTCTTCCTGTGAAAATTTTATTGTGCATTTTACCGACATTGGAGGGGAAATAAGTTATACACTTTTATATAAGACTGTGTAATATAAATATATACATATATATATATATGTATATATATATATATTATGAACAGTTAAGAATTAGAGCAACAAAATTTCATTTTTTAATTAATTGCCACCACAAAATTAATATTACTAAAATATAACAGCAATAGTTATAATAAGTTAATTTAATTATGTATAGTTGTGATTCACGTTTTTATTCAATTTAGAACAACACAAGTCAAGTACAGTTTTAGATCAATTAGTTAATAAACTTGATTAAATAATTAAAATAATTAAATCAAAGAAAGAATTCCAAATACCATTGATAAGGGTATTTGACAATATTACAAAAAGTTGTGTGTTCAACAAAAAACTGGTAGTTAAAAAGGAAAATGTTCTAAATGTATTTCATCAATGTTCAAATCTTTCCGTTCAAATAAAAGTTATAATTATATTATATGTTATATGAAATGTAAACATGTATATATATATATATATATATGTATATGAAAACATATATATACATAAATGAATATATACTATTTATGTATTATATATACAATACATAATTACTATAATTATATAATTAATATTTATTTGATAGTATTTATTGGCTTCACTCTACAAAATGATAGCATAATTATCGTTAGCATAAATTATAATTTTTTTCAAAAATTTTATAAATGTTAGCATTTTACATAAGTTAAAATATTTAACATAAATTATCAATTGACAAAAATTTTGCCGGCATTATAAATATTGGACAAATTGCTAGTTTTATAAATAAAAGTAGACTGACTCAAAACAATATGTACCAAAATTTTAGAAATGTATACATACATTATTTGTAATAATACTAAAATAAATAATATTTTTAATCTATGAATAAACTACTTCAATTTAAGTAAACAATGCATGATTTATTTTCTACAATGTCCTACTCCTTGTTATTCAGAGTTGAAAAATAAACAGCCTGAATGAAGTCTCAATGAAAGAAGTCAGTATTACCAAAGGAAGCTATATCAAAAAAAGTTGTATACACTTTTTTCTTTATGACAATTTTTTAAGATTGCTGTCTTTTAATATTGCAATATCTATACAGAAATTTCATCAAGCACTTGCATTATATTGGCAATACTGGATATTATATGTCTAGAAATTGTTGTTGTTACACGTTTCGTTAGATGTTTTTCATTGTTTGTCACTCTGAATGAAACAAAGAAAGCTAATCTAATTGGGGCGTTGGCATTTATAAACCAAATCGTCAAGTGATTAAGTATTATAATTATTAAAATCGTTTCTTTATAAAATGTATACAAGGAGTGAAATGGAAAAATTCAACAGCATGAAAATAATGTTATTAAATTTATTGTAGATATATAAAGAAATTTTGATTCAAAGTTCATTCAATTATATAATGTAAACAAAGTAGTAAAATATGTTTGTGAGCGTTAAAATAATAAATATAACATATTTATCTAAATATACAGAATAAATTTAAATTTGGTAAATTTAAAAGATTTAAATGTTTCAACATTTAAGTAAAAACAGCAGTGCGTTTATCGCGATTTTTCCCGCGCGATTTTGTACGTGCTTTAAAAGCAGCGGCATTCATCAAGTGCTAATAAAAAAAAATAAAATTAGTATATACTAAAATATGCTAAATCAATAGTGTATAATACTTACGCGTTCTAATTTGCTTTGTTTGCCTTTGCCCAATTCATTGGTGACATTTAATTTTGTCCCTAACTGAAAGATATCGCGTACAAAATCATTTTCTTGCAAATGGGAGGACATGCCTGGTCCCATAACAGCGCATAATGCAGCATATTGATGATGAATGGCCCAGGAATCCAATACTAGGCATTCATTGCCAAAGCGAATATTAATTTCGGGTGAGATATCCTCCTATAAAGAAATATTTAAAATTTTATTATTTTGTACATATGCATATTTATAATTGTGTTTTATAGTTTATTTCAACATATTTACTGTATAATTAAGTTTATTAAAATGATTAATAGTGCACTATTCTAAAGATAAAGTTTGACACTATGAATCTAATTCAAGAAGTCATATAATTTATATCTAATCCCAGTGTGAAATTTGACTTCATCACATTTGATTGTGTGTCGTTAAAGACACAACACCTGTATTACTCAACAATCCCTTTTCTCAATTAGACATTAGCTGCATTTACAGTAGAACTTCCTTTATAATCGTTAGCACTATGTAGTACTAATGTCACGTAAACTTACGTTTATTATTTCATTTTATTTTTTTTCGGCTGTTATAGACTGAACAAAAAGTTGTGGTATGTCGTCAACTTATTCAACTCTAAATGGATATATATTTAGTTTTATTAGTAATGCCACACCTATAATAGTGTTGTTTTTAAGTAGGCCATATCTGACCAAAAATGAATTTCACAACATTCTATAAGCTTTGTCAAACTAATATTAAAAAGTAGAAGTAATTACAGTGATAATTATTCTAACAGACACCCCACGTGGGCGTAAGAAAAACACTCCTATAAAAAGACGCTTAAGACAGCGGATACTGTATTATTTATTATCATAATTATAATTAAGCGGATATAACATATCGCAAATAATAAATACTAAGGGATTATGTGTTGATGGACCGTAGTCTAAGTTTTATGCTGTTCCAGGTTGTTGTGTTGTATACTGTAAACATATTTATAAATCTAGGACATAGCTTCTTATATCTAATGAAACTGCTTAATGTAAATGTGCAGTTTAAAATTATTCTAATTAAGCTTTTTAATGCTTTATATTTAACAATGGAGGTAATGCTTACATCCTCACTGAATAAAATTGACTTCAGTACTATTACTGAAGATTACAGTTTTCGACTAAAGTTACTGCTGCTAAAGTTAAAGATCTATATCCTACTTCTTTTGATGAAAAAGAATGTTATTAGGTTGGTATTGACTGGTCGTTGTTATAGTTCTTTCCCAATAGAGTTGTTTGGTTAGGCTTTGAAGTATAGTTATCTGCTGTTATTTGTGTTAAGGTACTAGTGAATGCTGCTACGCGAGTATACTATGTAATGTGCATGTATTCTGCCACTACATCCAAATATAATGTGTTCAAAGTTGTCACCACGTCCCCTACAACACCGACTGAATCTGAATAAGTCTGAAGGGTTATTGCGCAGGTATTAATAATATTATTAATACAATATACAATATAAAAATATTGTTCTTTTTATTGTTTTAATTATTATTGTTGTTATTGTTACGAATAATCTGTTTGATTTAATTAGTTTTTTTTCCAACAACTTTTTTTCTAAAAAGTCCAATTAATAATAAATAAGTTTGTTCTTATATACATGACAATAGTTCTTCAAACTCTTAATTAATACTTTAATTTAATTATTTAGTAGAATATTCTACGATAATAATTGATTTTATTCCTTTTTACCTCTAAATAATGCAACACATCTCTGAATGTGGCACGCTGTGCTTTGCGATCACGTTTAGCGCGATATTTATGTGAATCTGTGGCCAATTGTTTTACAGTATCAATGAGATCACCAAGATATTCTTCCAAAAAGTCCTCATCGTGTGAACGTCCGCATTCTAAAATCAATGCTAATGTCTCCCCAGCGGCAACTCTTACATCCAAATGGGGTGATTGTAACAAACCCATAAGTCTCTTAAAAGAGCTATAAACGAAAAAAAAAAAACAATATTAATATAAATACATTATATACATAGAAATAAAGAAAAACATACGGTAACATCGATTGACCGCTAGACATCCATGAGACAAAGTCACCAGCGGGTAAAACTGTTAATAACAAACCCCAAGCTGAGAGCGCTTCGGCGTGCAGAGTTCCTGCTTCTGCACTAACTGAAATCGGTGTTTTGTCATCACCACGTAAGTAGCTGCCGCTGAAAATTCCTTCAAAGAATTGCATTAAATTTAAGAATTCGCCAATATCTTCGGCACTTAAAAAGTTGAGTAAACCTAAAGCAGTGCAACATTTAGCGCGAGCATCAAATGAAACGGTCTTATCTTGAACTGTAGTCAAAAGGAATTGATTTAATGCTTTGAGTATGTTCTCATCGCCATTCAACTGCAGTACAAGTAAAGGTGCAAGACGTGCACCCCATACTTGCTCAGCACCTTTGCCGCGACGTAATGACTTCTCAATGCAATCGATGAGTGTCATTTTACGATCTTCAACATACTCAGGCATATAGCGGTGCATCAGTATTTCACAGATACTTTGTAAAGCCATTGCTCTAGTCTGAGCTGATTTTTCTGTTGCATTCTCTAGAGCTTGTGAAAATTTTTCCTCGAAACGTTCATTTGACGACAATTCATCAGAATCGTTAACAGATGATGGAGCATTTTCTGATGCGTATGAGTATACGCTGACATTATCATTGTAAGAATCATCTTCAGAGTTAGAATCTACACCGCGATCTATACAATGAAAAAATTAAAAAAAAAAAAGGATTTTACTAAATGGAAAATAGCAGTTCTATAAGAATTTTTATCATATATATAATATAACTTGATAAAATATAAAAACAAAGATATTATTTATAATCAAAAGAAATGTTTAAGAAACTAAAACCCTTTCTCGAAATTAATCGACTATTTGTAAGATAAAATACTGATTTGTACACTAACACTCTATGGACAGTTTTTAGTCTTAAATTTTTAATTAGTAGTCAAATTCAAGATAGACAGAGATAATCTTAAATATAATTCCTCAAATATATTAAAGTATAGCAAAGCAATATTAAATAAAAACACAAATGAAAAGGTTATGAACTAAAAGATAATAAAATTGCAAGAGGAGGACAACAAAATATTGTAAGTAGTGAGAAAAGGAATTATAACAAAGAATCAATAGAAAAGAGAAACGAAGAGGCAGAGATAAAGAAGAATAAAGAGAATGGAAGATATATACGAGGTGGATTAACGACTTCACAACAGGTGGTAACAGCAGAACAAAATCAATTATATTTTATATATGTATCTGGTAAAAGTTTCAATGCAATAATTCAAGTTGGAAAAGTTTTGGGTTTCGTATTTTGGGATTCAAGTGGAACAATTTTCATAAACTATTTGGAAAAAGAAAAAACGAAAACATCAAACTGCTATTGCATCGATTGAATGATGAAATCAAGAAAAAAAAACGACTAAAAATCAAGCAAAACGCACCCGCCTACATGTCAATGCAAAATTAATTGAATTACGGCACGAATTCCTTCCTCGCCCACCATATTCTCCAGATTTGGCTCCCAGTGACTATTACCTGTGTGGGAAGGAAACTGAGGAATATTTTGGTGGACATATTATTTGGTGGCGACTCGGTGTGTCGAGCCGCATTTCAAAAAAATGCTATTCTATTACTAGTATATATATAGCAAAAGAAAGAAAGAGATAGAAAGATATATGTATATAGAAAGAAATGGGAAGATATATATAGTCAACAGCGATGGTGGCACGTAAAAGGACATGGACAGCAGAGTGAAAAAGGTAAATGGCTCTTTCCGTCGCTTAACAAAGTCTGGAAAGTCAACAATGTAAGCGTCGAAACTAAATCAGAATATTCAACGCCTGCGCAAAATCGACATTATTATATGGGTACGAAACATGGTCGCTAACGAGGGCGTCGACTCAAAAGTAACAAACCTTTGTCAATAGAAGCCTGCGGCTTCTATGAAACCCGCAAGGTATAAGGAGTCGAGGTCATTCCAAAACCACTTGGCGAAGAACAGTGGCAACCGAAACAACGGAGGAGGAATTTTATAACTACTATTTGTAAATAGACTAAGTTCTAAATTTAATTTTTTTTTTATAATGAAGAACATGTCAAAATAATAATATATAAAGAGATAGAAAGATATATGTGTATTTAGGAGGAGAAAGTTAGTTCCATAGAATATAGGAAGAAAGAGAAACGAGCAGAGAAAGTTAGTTCTACAGAAAAACTTCTCACTTAAAACTAAAAAACAAGCGATATATCCGTAAACATTAATGGTAATATAAAAAATTATATATTTAATTAAAAAAGAAGAAAAATACTTGAACAAATAAGAGTTAATTTCAGTTAAATTGATCAACTTTCAAATTTATTTGCCTTAAATATGTATTACCATATATCGCAGTGATTAAAAATATCTGTTCACTTAAAAATAAACCAACGTACATGCAACATCTCAAGAAAACTTGAAATACCGACCAGATAAGAAATTCAATAGCAATTTTTCATAAGTTTGAAATAAACGAGCAACGTGAATAAAACCTTGAAATTGTATAAAAAATACAGCTATTGATAACTAATTCATACACAATCACAAATAAATAATATATGTATGTATATATATTATAAACGAAATTTAATGTTAAGTGAAATACAAAATAAAAGCTACAAAATTTAATAAAATTTACGGTGTGCTGCTGACGGGCTTATCTAATGTTGCCACCATTTATTTCTACTCGTATGTTGTATTTGTATAGGTGTATATTAATAAACCTCGAGTTAGAATTAGAGATAATATGAGGTTATAATTTCAACAATATATGAGCTTATTAAAAAAAAATACTTAAATTTAGGTGAAAGTGAATTTACACAATTATGAGTACTAGTTGCATACGTTTTTAGTGGCACATGGTAGGTGTACGTATATGTAAGTACAGGAAGTCGCTTTAATTACTCTATACACCTACAGAAACGTCTTGAAATATTATTTCAATATTGTCGACAAACTGGCGTAATATTCTAAAAACTCACATTGAGTCTTGACATATAAACGGAACACAAAGAAATTTCCGCAAATAATTAAAGTGTTATTTAAATACTTAATTAAACTAATTAATTTATATTAATTTATATTAATTGCTATGAAATGTTCACAGATATACGTTTACGCATAAGAAGGTTTTAAAATGATTTTAAATAAGGCATGAATATGTATACCATTACATTTATATGAATATATATTATATGTGTTTGTACATAACTACACACAAATATGGTATATAATAAAATGAACTCATTTCAAGAAATCAAGAACGGTTTATATTTTGGAATTGCTAGCAGTGAATTATATAAATTTAGAACTACACGCTTTATTGCTCCTCTACTAAAAAGTCTTTTTTGGCCGTCATGTATGATATTCCATAAGCTCTTAAAGAACTTATAATTATATTCAAAAAATGTGAACCAATATGAACAATATTTCGACTTTTAAACATCGTTACTCTATCTAAAAAACTTCAAATCAACCAAAAAGCTTTATTAAGTGCTAACAGTTAGTAGTCTATCTGCGTTTTTATTTAATTTATATGTGTAAGTTTAATTGAAAGTTGTCTATTTGAACCAAATGACGTTAAGGCCGTTCAGACTACATGAGTTAACAAAAAAAAAAAAAAATTACAAAAATATTATGAATTGTTCATCACAAATTAAGAAAAAAAAAATATATATGTTTAAATAATTTGCTTTTGTTGTAAATATGTCTAAAAAAAAATATTTTAAAATATATTGAAATCAACTAAGACAACTTCAAAGACGAATTAATTTATGTACAAATTAAAAAAAAATTAGTGGTAATAAATAATAATTTTATAATTTAAACTTAATATATTCGTATTAATGAAAAATATTATATATTTTTTTTAATTTTTTATAAGCAACAGAGCCAAATAGCAAGAATTTGTTAACAGTTTTTAATTTTAACAAGTCATTTTGAAATTATCTATTTTTATACAAATGTATTATACTATATAATATATATTATAATATACTATATAATATATATAATAATATACTATATAATATATATAATAATATACTATATAATATATATTATAATATACTATATAATATATATTATAATATACTATTTAATATATATTATAATATATTATATTTTTCAGTGTTTTTGCAATAGCTGATTTATCTTATTCAGTACCAATTTCAATTGAAAGGTTCTCTGTATTATATAGCATATCATACTATATAATATATATTAAAATATCTAATGCTTTCCAAGTGTTTTTACAATAATTGATTTATCTTATACAATACCAATATTATTTAAATGTTATCTGTTTACCAAATATTATTTAGAAATAAATCTTTAACATTATTGACTGAAGTAATTAAGTCAGACATTAGAAACGTCCTGATCATAAAACGATCCTTCTACATATACAGAATAATTTTAATTTAATCAAAAAACTCTTAGTATCTCTTAATTAAAAATTCAATTAATTCAAATAATATAAAAAAATTTTTTGTTGTTGCAATTCACTACTTTTCGAACATATAATCGCCTAATGTATGTTTATGTTAGATTAATCCAATCGTTCCTATAGATACATAAGTTTATAAATTGATTTCAATATCAAGAAAGAGGAATAAATAATTTAAAATTAAAATAATAGAGAAATCATTTGTTCTGTTAATTGCAGTTTTTTGTTTTCTATTACTTACATTAGCTTCGTTACAGTGTTTGAGTTTTACGATATAAGAACAGATCGAATATAGTCAAAACGGGAACATTTCGGATCTTCAGATGTTCAAAAATATTAGCGCTACTGGAAGTACATCAGTAAATGCTCAAACACCTTATGGTCTTCTGCTCTATGTTACATTTTATTTTCGTTTTATCTTAAACAAAATCAAAATACTCAATGTTTCGAACAGTTGGAATAATATTTGAAGTTTAAAATTTTTATTAAATTGTCTTATATAGTCTGTGTATATAACATACACAAAGTAATTATGGTTAATCAGATTCTTTAGTTTGTAATTAAACGATGTACATAAATTAGGCGGACGGACAGACAACCTACGCATATTAATTTATTTTATTTGATATATTTCATTTTTAAAAAAATTAATAAAAATTATATATATTCTATATTAGTCTTTTTCTAACATTCTCTGTAATTATTTAGCAGATAAATTAAGCAGAATACTATACAGTTATATATAGGCATAACAGTTATATTAATTGCTTTAACAGTTATATCAGAAGTTATAACACGAATTATAACAGTTATATCAAGAGTCATAACAGTTATATCAAGAGTCATAACAGTTATATCAAGAGATATAACTGGTATGTCAATAGATACAACTGTTATCTATTATATAACAGATGTTACTGTTATATCTGTTGCTGCAGATTAAACAGATATAGCAAAAAATATAACAGTTATTTAAATTTATATCATTTTTAAGTAATAAATAAAAATGAAATATATTCTATATTAGTCTTTATCTAACAATTTCTGTAATTATTTAGCATAATATTTGTTAATAATATTGTCATATATCTAGATATAACAAGATATAACAGTTATATCAAGAAATATAACATTTATTTCAAGCGATATAACAATTATATCAAGAAATATACCAGTTATATTAAGAGATAACAGTTATACAAGAGATATAA